ACGAAATAAGAAACATGATTAGATATTCCAACATAAATCATGTCGCCCTGCATAAAAACAGTGACTATAGTTGTCATGTGACAAGACAAAAAGGCTTCCACGAGTCCAATTCGGCAACAAGTAAATCTTTCAAAGAGATTAGATTACAGTGATGGATTTATTTGATGCTTTCAATTTCATCATCTGCTACAATTTACCACCCATCACAACGCAAAGGACTTTGACAATACGGGACTCCTATTTGTAATTCAGTAGTTGTCTTCTCATTGTCTTTATTTTTATTTTCTGGTTGAAAAAATTAAAAATTAAAAACACTCAACTAATCTCTTTTAAATGCCTCCTAGATACTATGAACAAAATAACGATTGTAAAATATCTGAACATACATATGATCAAACAAGATTTTAAAACCATTACTCATTTACACTAGATACTTTCATTTCTGTTTTGTTCTAATCATTTTTGTTTCTCAGATTGGAAAGAGAACTACAACAGCCAAAACTTGTTATTGGGAACTTCATGCAACAACCAAAACATGAACCACAACCAACAACAACAACAGCCAAAGCTTAAAAACTTCCTAGTGTCGGTGGAGAGAGTTCTTCAGATAATAAACAACCACTAACCACAGTTGCACTTGATACCACAGAAACTGGAGCCATTGAAACTGCACCCAGAAAATCCATTGACACGTTTCTATATATATACTGTGGTGTAACAAGCTATTTTATTAATTTAAGGAATAATGACTTTCTTATCCTCCCAACAAACATTACATTCTGTTATACATGGAAAGAAAAAAAATTCTAATCTATCAACAAATATCTATCACCATTTAATTTAAACATTACTCAAAAATGTTAATAAGTATCAACCATTGCAAGTCACCCGGAAATTTGCATTCAATCCAGGTTTCCATGCATCAAAATTGCTATAAATACTCATTTCATTGCATCGTATGTGTCTCTATGCTAGATATAACAATCAGCAGTTCAGCACCAAAAATGTTAAACCACTGATTGAGCTCTTATAAAAGTTAATATAGGTGTTGAACAAGACAATAATACTTCAAATAGTTAACTATGCCTTTTATATCAAATTCAAGTACTAAATGCAAGTTGCAGAGCTTGCCAAAGATAAATGGGAAATTTTATGTATTACTACCAAACATGGAAAATAATTTGAAAGTAATGTACCTTCAATACAGAAAGATATGCATCTGAAAGGTTAGTATATTTTCCCACCATCGCAATTCTAACCTGTCAAGAACAAAATAGTTGTGAGCTCAGTACTTTCTACTATTCAGAGAGTTAATATTGAAACTCACATAATGATGAAATATATTAGATTTTTTAGATGATATATCAGAAATATTGAAACTCACTGATTCATGAAATTTTTCATATACTTTTGTTGTTGCAATTCAATCCTTAAAATTAGGCTCTGCAGCAACACTGCAAGTAACAGGACCATAACCATTAGTGCAATGACAGAACCACTTTATGTTACTGTCATACCATAACTAACAATAAACTCTCAGAACATCACTACATCATCACATTAGGATGATATAGTTGTACACCAAAACAAGAATGAGTTTGTCAAACAAACCCTCGCAGGTTTAATGTTTTCAGGATTGCCTTATGCGCCTTCTGGTCCTAATGGTAACAGAATAATTTCAAAAGAAAAAAAATGGTTATTATATGAAATCACATCACTTAATGAAAAATAATACAATTCAACTGTCCAGGCAAAAGGATACTAAAAGTCCAAAACACGAGCTAAACAATTTAAAACTTCATAAACAAGGTTCCAGTAATGCTAAGACTACCACAAAAAGAAGATTCATAAAATACCACAGAATTACTTACACTTAACAGCAAAGGAATGTGCCAAATATTTGGAACATCATAGAGAGTAAGTATGCTTGATGACTGCAGATGAAAAAGTTTCTCTTGAGAATATATGCAAGGCTAAATATATAAGCAAGGTGAAAATTATCAACATTTATATCATATTACCGGAACATGACAAAATTGAGAAAGTTTTTCCTTAACATTATCAGCAAGTTCCAGCAAAGGACAAAACCAAAATCTTTAATCATTATTACATGGAACCAAAAAGATGCAAAGAAAAAGTAGAAAAGCAATAAACAAACCTTTGAACTACGACAAGCAAGAAGATTTGGAGTCAACCCTAACCCTCTAAGTTGGCGGACACTGTGTTGAGTTGGCTTTGTTTTCTACATATTAAAACATCCAATAAATAAACGATAATAAGTCTATTTGGCTTTGAAAACATGAAATAAGAGTCCCAATCCATTTATTAATGGTGAAACATATATCTAATAAGAAACAAAAATCCAACTTTATATTAACAAATAAGTCTAAATACATTTTTTATCATTCATTTCTATTAAGCATACAGAAAAATGTTTCATTACTAACATACAGCTTGCAGTATACCTGTTCGCCAACACAGGAAAGAGAATTTGATAGAAAAAAAAAAAAGGAAATGAACTGAGAAAAGGAGAGAAATCATTCTCATCCTAGGGCTTTAGTTTACTTTTACAAACACAGGAAAGAGAAATTGATAGAAACCATAAAAAAAAAGGAAATGAACATAGAAAAGGAGAAAGACTTCTCCAATGGCTTTTCTTCACAAAGAATTTCCCTTGTTCATACAAAACATTTTAATTCTTTGAATGAATCAATGATGCTTACATGAGCAACGGATTCAGGGGAAAGGGCGCGGCAACGGCGCGGCAACGGCGGGGCGACGGCGGTGCAACGGGGGGCAAGGGCTCATGCGCGCGCACGGGGAAACCTTCTCAATATTCAGCAGCTAGCAAGGGCTTCAGGGAGAATGACTACTCATGGGCGCGCGCGGGAGTAGGAAAGAGTTCTCAATATTACATCGCTCACTATGAAAACCGATGTAGATCTCTTTATGTTTGAGGCTTATTCACAAAAATGCCACCGTGATTTTAATATTACATCGGTTCGTCTTAAACCTGATGTAGGATATGCTTAATATTATACACTTAATTACAATAATGCCACCGTGCCTTCTTTTTACATCGTTTCTTGGTTAACCGATGTAGAAATGGTGATGTAGAATAGTATTTTTGTAGTAGTGTATACCCAACACATATCACGCAAAAACTGAATCCACATAGGAGAAAGTATTATTAGGTATAACATTACCCATATCCATGACATCCTCGACTCTAGAAACAAGTTAAACACTTGTTTTCCATCCACAAATTAGTTTAAATTGAAAATTAAAGAATTATTAATAGAAATTATACAAAAATAATTTCTTGGATTTTTTTTTCTTGTAAAAAAAATTCGTAGGAAATTTTACAAGAAACTTTCTTGCGGATTTTAAAATTCAAAAACATATTATCCACAAAAGTATTACTTAAAAATAAAATTTTGCAAAAAAAATGTAGAAACAACATTTCTTACGAATTATTATGAAAATTTGCAAGAAAAGTTACATATAATAAAAAAAAATTCTAGTGGTAATATATATATATATATATATATATATATAATTTCCTACTTTGACCTTATTCTTTTGAATGTTTCTATTTTTGAATTAAAATAAACTTAAAATATTTCAAGAACTTTTTTATGTTAATAATATTGTTAGTAAAAGTACTTTTTAGGAATTTCATGTTCAATTCTCGTTGGTGCACCTAACAATCCAATAATATGCATATATATGTATTTTTATACAAATACAAAATGTACATAATAATTTAAAGTTTTATTATCTCTTTTATCTAAAAAGATGTTGATGGCGAGTTGGGGGTGAATTCACCCGTTTTACTACCCCTAACAACAATTTTTTTTTACAAGTCCCTAACAACTTTCTGAAAATTAGATTTTGGAAAATTAGTGCAATCGAAAGAAAGAAAGCAAGAAGCTAAAAACTATTCGAAACAGCAAACAATATTGGAGGTGAAGAGGAGGTGAGTAAGATGGAAAAGTTAAGAAGTTGTTCTTCTTTTATATTTTAAGTGAAAATGAAAAATAGTGGTGAAAACATACCATTTAACTTTAAAAAAATATTTTTTATGAAAACATTTTTAAAATGAGGTTAAAATTGAAAAAAAAAATAACCTATATTGTTCACACACATAGATATTGAATCTTATTAATTTTAAAATTAAAAATATTTTTAGAAAATAGTTATACAAAATAAAATAAAAAAATTAAATAAAATAGACCTTAATAAAATGAGAAACTGAAAAAGGGAAATGATCGCTTAAAAAGGTGTTTGGAAAGGGTGAAAAAAAATAGAGAGGAATGAAAGGGTCTAAGAGAGATAAAAATACAAGATAATCGGGTAAAAATAAGTCAAACAACCTGTTAAAAATCCTTAACTCGATTTATTTAAGACCTAATCTATTTATTATAAAGTTTAGATTTAAGTTTTTCAATAGTCTTTTTAACTTAAAAAAACTTATTAAACTTGATGAAAAAACCTACTTAAAACACACATTATATTAACCTATTTAATTTATAATTAATATATTATAATAATTTATAATCAATGTTTTTTATTTAATATATATTTAATTATTAATAATAATCTTTTTGATACTTCACTTATTAGTCTATTTAGACCTACAAACCTATTAACTTGTTTAATAAGTTTGTATAAAATAGACACATAAACAAACAAACTTTCAGGTTAGACAATACTTTAAAACAGATTAAACTAATTTTTAAAAAAAGTTTATAATAAATAAACATGTTAAATTCAATTTTAGTAATTTGGTTATAGGTCTGAGTCAAGCCTTCCAAAGTTTGGTTTGACTTTACCTGCCAGTCTTTCACATTGAAGAGGAAAATTGGAAAAAGAAAGAAGTAGCTTTATTTTTATTTTTTAAGGGATGGGGACCACGGGGTATATTCGGAATAACAGTTTTGACATCTTCATCTTCTGGGTCATAAGCCCGTAAGGGTGAAAATTGCTTGGCATGGTCTCAGACCCGTTTCTCATTTGAGTTTGGGCTTTTGACTTCAATGTGAGCCCAAGGCAGCTAGCAACATAAGCTGTGAAGTACGGAAACGTAACAGCGCGCGGGAGGAAATGCTTATCGGTAGCAACTTGCATTTTTCTCGGTGGACTTTCTTCAAACACCTTACGACACGGAAATTCACACCACCACTCTGTCAGCACAAATCCCTCGCCACTCTCTCCCACTTCGGAACGCTAAATTCCCGCCAGAAGGACCAGGTTCATCTCTACGTCCACACTCTTCTTCAATGGAACAAGGTATTCAACTTCTCTCACTTACTCGCTCACAGCGCAACGCACTCTCCCTTAACACTTGCACATCGCAATTGCAATTGCAGCGCATGAATCTCACCGCAGTTAGAGATGTGAACGAAGCCATGGAAAGGCACGTGGAGGACTCCCTCTCCATTTTGCCTCCGTTGAGCGATTGTTACCGCTCGCACTGCGGCGCTTCGTGCGATAAGCTGAGCCTCGTCGATGTCGGAACTGGCGCTGGCCTTCCCGGAGTAGTTTTGGCCATAGCTCGCCCAGGTGAGTTCTTGTTTGATGTATTTGCAATCTGAATTTCTGAATTGTGTTATGAATTTCGTTGTGACTTGGAATTCAATGGAATAGAGTGGGATGTAACGCTGCTGGAGTCTATGAACAAGCGCTGCGTCTTTTTGGAGCACGTTGTCAGTGTTATCGGATCCTCGAACATTCAAATTGTAAAAGGAAGAGCTGAGGTAAGATACACTTCTATTCTTTTATTAAAATTTCCATGTGAGTTCACTGAGTTGCATGATAACTTTTTTATTTAATGCCGTTAAAAAAGTTTAAAAAGGGAGAGGATAACTTAACATGGTTTTCCATGGTTGTATTGTATATGAACACAATCACTCTGGAGATTATTAACCCGGACTGTAATAACATGGAACACATTTCTTAAACCGAAACACATTTAATTCCTGAAGACCTGCTGTTATGTTTTGTTTTTCTTTTGGGATCACAAACTTCTGTCAATCGCCATATACCTTCTCCTGCATGACAATATGTCGTGTTCTGTGCATAGGGCAGAGTTTGGGGCAGAATCCTTGCTTCAGAGAGCAATTTGACGTAGCAGTGGCCAGGGCAGTTGCAGAAATGAGAATATTAGGTAAATTGAGGACTTCCTGATTTTATTCTTCATTGCTTTGGCACTTCGTGATTTGTTACTGCTTTAGTGTTTGCTTGTTGTTGCATCGTTTCCAGCTGAATATTGTCTTCCTTTGGTTCGTGTTGGTGGATTGTTTATTGCTGCCAAGGGTCATGATCCTCAGGTATGTAAACAGCTATTAGAAATTAATTCTGTGACTCATATATTGCGTATTTAATAATGCTTGGTTGATTGCTTTATTTAATAATACTTGTATTTCATTAATCATGCCCGTAAACTGAGAAGCTTGCTCCTCTAGTTTGAGCTCATTATCAGGGTGTAGTGCTGATTTGATAAGGCCCTTAGAGTTCGAGGGTATGCGTGTGCTAATAGTCTAGGAGTTGCAGTTAGAGTTTTCGATTATTAAGGTTTAAGCAAATTTTATCAAATTTTTGTAAATAGTTTGTTTTTTGACAACCGAGTTTTTTTTTTCCTCTTGCCCTAATTAAACACACATTCAACTCAATCATTCACTACACTGACAAATGACTTAGGAGATACACTTGGAAGTTAATAAAAAAACTTCATTTTACTGACTATACAAATAAGTTATATCTCAATTGTGCTTATATTCTGTTTAAATATGATTTACACAAAGTTTTTACACTGTCATTAATAATGTATTTACAGTTGACACATCATAAAAAAGTTAGACTTCCTGCATATCGGTTGTAATGGTCAAACACTTTTAGTAATCAGTCAATGGATGATTGGCTGATAAAGAAGTTTTACACCAACAGTAAATCTAAATTGAATCTATATTATTATTATTTTTTTCAAATAAGTTCATTTCAAATCAAGCTAACTTATTGTGTGGCTTTTCTATTCATTCCCGTGGATTTAAACTTTTATAGTTGTGAACCATCTGTTTCTGACATGATGAATTTGGATAGGATGAAATTAAGAAAGCAGAAAGGGCCATCCAGAAGGTGGGAGCATCTCTATTGCAAGTTTGCTCAGGTACACAGCTTTAAACTTTTAAACTTCGCTCTTGCGATGTAGACTTTTGTACCGAGTTAAAAAATTTCAAACGTTTGTATTCCCGTGAATATAGGTTTTTAACATTATACTCTGAATGAAGTGGACAGATTGATAGTTTCCTTGTCCAACAGCGGTAAGCTGCTAATCATCATGGAAATTGATTAGTTTTATGACAACCTTAAGCTATAACACCAATTTTTAAGAATTTGATACCCCCCTTTCCAACCCCGTCGGTTGAGTGTTCTGGAGCTTAGCATGTAATGACTCTTCTCTACTGAGACATGGTAGGGAGCTTAGAATCAATGTTAGTGGCTATGGTTGCTCATGCTCCAAGGACTTGTGGAGGCGCATGAGTAAAAGGAAGTTGGGCAAGAAGTGTTTCTGTATCCAGGTGCATAGGTGAACTTTTGGCATTGAAATGAAATGACGCAGAAATTTGATAGGAAGAATGGTGTGAATATAAATTTGCTTTTTAATTTCACAGGCGAGTTAAAAATATATCCTCTTTTTTTTTTACTGATTCAAAATATATCTATTTCTTTAAGGAAAGCGACTCATACTCTTAGTCCTTAATCCCCCGTAGCAAAGTTCTAGTCGTTACAAACCACTAGCAAACAATTCTAGATTAAACAAAGGACAAAACTTAGATAAGTTCCTTATGTCCTTGCCATTATGTTCTCCAATCAAATTATGAGATATTGACATGTAGATGTTTATTTGAAATTCTACAATACATATTTAATGCAAGTTATTTTCTGTTAGAAATAACATCCTCATGCCATCATTATTTGAGAACTTGATGATGAGGAATAAGGATATAAAGAACTTCATCTAAGTTTTTTTCTTTAAACACAAACTTGTCAACCATAAATCAAAAGTACGCGATTCTTATGCTCAAGAGGCCAAAACCTTAAATTCCATACATTATTTTTTCACATAAATTAGAGCATCAACCTTTGTTCCCTTCCTGGCTTCTGTAGGCATTTGTCCCGTAGTAGGCATGATAAGCTTGTCAATATAATATAATGATATATTATGACTATTAATCGTTTGATGCAAATATTATATTGTGTAATTATTTTTAACTATTTATTTGTTTATTAAAAGGTTAAGTGACAATTTCAAGTATTATCCACAACTATTAATGATATCATGTTAGAGTGTGATATCTCTAAATATTATTAAAATAAATGTTATTTATATACCTTAAAATCATTCTTAGGAATCAAAAATAATGATTTTAGATTTCAGAGGGATGAATATAAAAGAAAATTATAAGGACTAAAATCAAAATTTATTCATTTTACAAGGACCAAAAATATTTTATAAGGATCAAAAACAATGTTTAAAAATTTTAGAAGGATGAAAAACAAAAAAAAAAAGTTATAGGGATCAAAATCAAAATTCACTCATTTATTAGGGGGACTAAACATATTTAAGTCTATAAAATATTAGTTATTTGAGGTTAAAAAAAATTCCAAATAAATTAGTGAGGATAAAAAATGAAAAAAAAAAACTAACAGCCTATAAATTAGGTTATTTTTATAAGGTAGTTTAAGTAGTTTATAAAAATTAATAATAAATTATTAAAATCAGTTTGTATTCCAGACAAATTTATTTTGGTAAAACTAACTTATAATAGAGTAACTTACAAAACACACTCCACAATCGACCATATTTTCTTATTTAATCATGTGTGGTGATTAACAATTTTATAAAATTACTAATCATTTGTAATAAAGTTGTCAAAACGAGTCAATATTTGACTCGGTTTACCTCAACCCATTTTTTAAATGAGTTGGCCTAGTTCACCCATTTGCTTAAATGTCCAAATTTTTCAGCACATTCTAATCCGCTATAGGTTGGTGGGTTAAATGAACCTAAATTTTAAAAAAATAATAACTTCAATCTAAAATAACATTCAATCTAAAATAAAAATTATCAAATTAAACATCATGCATACAACATTAAACTTAATTAAAAAGTTAAAAAGTGCATAACTTTGTTAGGCCATTCATATCATAATGCATTTTCGAACTTTGTTAGGTCATTCCTATCATGTGCCCTACACTGACCCTTAGAATCTAATATTGCACACATTAGAAGATTCTCCTACACGATCTTATTATGGGTAAGGACTTTGATGATATTTTCAGAAATATTTCGTTTTGGTTATGCTCTTGTATTTCCTCCACCCCGCCCAAGTTTTCTTTCCTTTAGGGTACATGTATTCTTGATTTAATTGGAAGAGTTTGTATTTCATTTCAATTTATTGTTTCCTGTGGGTGAGCTAGCTTCTAGAAGTAAATTTACATTGATTTTGTCAACGTCCAGTGGAATCGCAAAGCCCATATGGTCAACGAACTGCTGTCATATGTTTAAAGGATCGTCCTACCCCGATGAAATATCCCCGTGATCCAGGTACACCAGCTAAAGAGCCATTGTAACTAAGATGATGCTAATTCTGTTGGCTTATTTATTTATTTAATTTTCTAGCCATTCCTATTACTCTTCTTGAACCAACATGAAACGTTTTGCTAGAGTGGCCTGCTGTGTACAACAATGTAAATGTGCACCACTGTTTAGATTTTTAGTTCATATAGAACAAGCTTTGATAATTTCTGTTGTTACGACGTTGTTCAGAATTTATCTTCCAATGATGCAACTTTACCTGAATATAATGCGAAGGCTTTACAATATTTTATGCCTTTGTATAGTATAGATAACGACATGGAACTTTCGAGCTGTATTTATCTCCTCCTCCTCGCGTGTTATGTATTCATTGCACATTTGCTCTATGATTGGAATCAGGATGCAAATGGTTTGCGCACATCCATTGTGAAGGCTTTTATACAAACGTTCAGTTTAGAAATGACGAATGTTTTGTTTGTAGCATTCCTACCTGGCTACCTCCTAATTTTTGTCTGATGTTTCCGCACGACGCAAGAGTGAATATTCAAAATCAACTGATAGGTTGGAAATCTTAGCATTGGAAAAATGACTGCTACGGTATTACCTAACACCTTAGCTACTTCTACATTTAAATCGGGAAAAGCATTTAATAAACAAGTAATTAATAAGATTATGGATTGAGACCCTGCTGGTCCCGTTGACATGGTGCAAAACTTTTTTCTCTTTTTGAAATATCTTTGCACTCATTGACGTGAGACTAATCGTTAAACACGATAATGGAGCACTAAGCTTTTAACCATCCAGTACTAGTTCGTATTCCACCTTTTAAGCGATGTGTAAAATGGATCAGATCAATTATTTATTCCTCAACACTTTAGCTTGAAAAATGCTTCTTGTCTGTTTGTACCAACAGAACAAGGATGAGAATCCTTAGCAGGTCTTTGTGATCCAAATCTTTAAGCATTTTATGCTTCGACAAAAAAATTATAGTAATAAACAATTTCATAAATGTGAATCATTGGATTCGATGAGGAACTGTAGAAGATCTTCATCTTCATTCGTATTTATTGTTTCAGACCTGTCTTAAACACAACGAACTCAACGACCTAGTTTAATGCATCAAGGTGTACCTTGTCTCTCCCACCTTCACGCTTTGGCTAACCGAGATATGCCTTACACGGCTTATGTATGTCTATTGAATTTAATTACATCACAGACATTGGTCTCTCCCTCTAGGAACAAATTTCAAGTAAATGATCGTGTTGTTGATTAATTTACAAGACACTATCATATTAGTCTCTAAAAATAAAAATAAAAAAAATCATTAGCAAAATTAAAATTTCTTGATTAATTGAATATATATATATAT